GTCCATCCTGCCTCCGGCGTTCCTGGGGGGCCACAGCTGTGGGGGGGACGCCCGTCAGCACCAGGGATGGTGGCACCTTCCCTGGCACCCTGCAGCCTCCCTCTGCCCAAGGGACAGGGCAGCATCTTCCCATTCCTCTCCTCAATTTGCAGGCTCTGGGAGTGGGAACGTCCCCCAGGAGCAGGGGGTGGCTCCCTGCCCCACAGGGGTCCAGGAGACCCCCCGGCCTCCCCCATCACCCCCTGCCCACCAGGTCCTCCCCAAGTCCAGCCAGTGACACCCCAACATATCTGGGGAACCAAACCCCCGAGTGACCTCTATTAAACCATCAGGGGAGGGGGATCAGTGACCCCCACTCTACCACACACCAGCACCCCAGGGTGTCACCAGGACATCTGAGGAGCCCTCAGGACCCCCCCGGGAGCACCCCCAGCAAAGCTGGGACCCCCCACATAGGGAATATTCACAGCCAATTTGGGATGCAGCAGAAAACGGGGTCCCCACCACCAGCACCTGCCTGTGCCCCCATTTCCTCAGGCCCGGCACCGATCCCGCACCGCACGGGGGGTCCCGGGATAGGCACGGGGGGGAAACTCACCCCAAAACACGACACACAAATGGGGGGGGGGGGGCATGCCCTGATCTGCAGCCCCCCCTCCCGAGCGCACCCCAAAAACCCCAGAGGGCTCCAGCACCGCGGGGGGAACGAAGGGGACCCCAAACCGGAGCACCGGGCACGCACGGGGTGAGCGGGGAGAACCGGGGGGGACCCGCGGGCACGGGGGGCACCGAGCACAGGGCACCGGGGAGGGGGGGACGCGCTGGGGCAGCGCCAACCCCCCCAAAAACCCGAGAGGCCGCGGGGAGCCCCGGCCGCGGGGCAGGAGCGTCGCGTCCCACCCAGCACCTCCCCGGCCCCGGTTCCCGGTGGGCCCGGGGGGATTCGGGCCCTCCCCGGAAAGGCTCCGGGGCCGGGGGGGATTCGGGCCCTGCCGGGAAAGGCTCCGGGGCCGGGGCCCGCACCCCCGGTCGGGCCGAAACACCACGCGGCGACACCGCCCCCCCCACACCCTCCCCGGTGCTGCCGGGCCACGCTTCCCCCGCTCCCCGGTGCAACCGGGGGGTCGAGCCGGCCAGGCCCCGATCCCCGGCCCGCCGCGGCCTACGCTGGCACCGGCACCGGGCCCCGAGCCACGGGCCCGGCCGTACCTGCGCCGCAGCCGCCCGGGCCCCACCGGTACCGGACACAAAGGCGTGCGAGCCGCGCTCCGCGCCCGGCCCCGGTCGGGCCTTACCGGGAGCGGCGGCACGGCGGAGGCGGCGCNNNTGTGACGGCGCGCGCGCGGCCGCAGCGCACGCTGCCGGGCGGGGCGGGGGGGGGAGATCCCTCCGCCGCGCTTAACCCCGGCGGCGCCGGGGCGGGAGCGCACGTGGGCACCGAGGGGGCGGGGCCTGCCGGGAGAGGCTCCGCCCCCCTACCGAGCGGCACCGGCACCGGGATAGAGGGAGGCGTCCCGGACCGCCATGGGGGTTAGGGGATGGATGGGAGGGTGGGATCAGGGGTGGGGGTCTGCCGAGAAGCCGGCGGGAGCGAGATAGTCCGCGGTGTCCCCGGTCGGTGTCGCCGTTATCCGCCGATGTGCCCGGTCCCAGGGGTAGGAGCCGCCGGGGCAGGTGCCGGTGTATCCGGAAGAGCTGCTGTGTCCGCTGCCGGTGTGCCTGGCGTAGCGGCTGGACCGGTCCGGGGATCCCCGGTGGCAGCCGCCATGCCCGGTCCGGGTCCCTGGTAGCAGCCGCCATGCCCGGTCCGGGTCCCCGCTCACTCACTGCCACCGCGTGCTGCGGCTGAGCCCCGGTTCCGGTATCCCCCGAGCAGCCGGTCCCGCTCCCCCGGACCTTAACGGGGTACACGGGGCCGGTACTCCCGGTTTGGGGCCGCATCAACCCCCCCGGGACCCCCAGCCCCGGGGAGGGGTCAGACCCAGGGTCCCCGGGAGCGCAAACCCCCAGACCCAGCGACTTGGGAGGGCAATTGAGGGGGTGCAGCCCCCTGGCCCCAGCACCCCAAAAGCACTTCACGACCCCCCCAGCAGCTCCTGCTCCTCTTTACCACCATAATTGTCTAATTAGCAACAATTAGCCCGGCTGGGTGGAGATAAACCACGAGGGGAACCGCAGCCAGAGCCCCCCCACGCTCAGGAACCAAAATCTGAATTTCTCAGGGAGAAAATCGGGGGGCACAGGGCTGAAAACCCCCCTAGAATCCCAGTGAGGTTCTTGGGGTGCTCAGTCCCATGAGGAGGGGGCTCATGGAAGCACATCCAGGGTTGGAGGGACCCCCGTGCTGGGGTGTTAGGAACAGCCCCCCCCCTCAATCCAGGGGTTTAGAGACAAAACAAAGTTTAATTGTTCCAGCCCCGACTCCCACGGGCTGGGAACAACACCCGCATTGAGCCGGGGCTGCGGGAGCAGGAACAGCCCCGACCTGTCCTGGGGTGTGTGGGGGGCAGCCGTGAGGAACCGGGGGGCTCCTGGCCGGGCCAGCACCCCCAGGCTGCTCCCAGCCCCCCCTGAGCCCCGCAGCGAGGGGCTCCCAATCACCCCCAAAGCTGCTTCTGCTCCTTTTCTGCCGTGTGTTAGAGTGGGGGTCCTGGGGAGGGGTCTGCCCCACGCCGGGGGTCCCAGCAGGCTGGTGGATCTGCCAGGGGAGCTGTGCAGCTCCTCAGTGAGCTTCATGGAGGTCCCCGCGGTCACCTGAGGGTGAGGGGACATCAGTGCCAGCACGCTGGGGGTCCGGGTGGGCTCCGTGCCCCATCTGCTGGGCTGAGGACTCGAGGAAAAACGGCCCCCCACAACTCCAGCAGCTCCTTCCCTCCATCTGTCCTCACCTCCCAGCTGGGGACAGGCAGGACACACGCACGTGTGGGACCCCAGACCCCCCCCGGGACCCCCCCTCACCTCTGCAGGGCCGGGTCTGCCCTGTCCCCCCAGCACAGGGGGGGTCAGGGCACCGAGCACCCCGGCACCCCCTCCCCAGGAGGGGCAGCACCTTGCTCTGGGGGGTGTGACCACCTGGAAGTTCTGGGGACAAGGGGACATCGAGGCACATCGCCCCACCGAGGGGTCCTGCCTGTCCCAGGGGACTCAGGGGGGTCTCCCTGTCCCAGGTGACATCCCCAAGTCCCAGGGGTTCCCCGGGGATGTCACCAGGATGGAGCCATGGATGCTGGAGCGTGGCAGGACTTTTGTCACCCGTGGCAGGGGTGGCAGCAGCCCCACAACACCCCCCGGACCCCCCCAAACTGCCCCAGCTGCAGGGGGAACCCCTCCTTGCCCACCACCCCCAGGTCGGGGGGGCTGCCTGGGACCCCCAAAGGCTCAGACCCTCTTCCACCTCAGCCCCCAGCACAAGGGGCCCCCAGCACGAGGTTTTGGGGCACAAGGGTTTTGGGGCACGAGGGTTTTGGGGCACAAGCCACCCCCCTCAGCAATGGGGACACGTCTGTCCTCGTCACCTGGGGTCCCACAGGGGCATGGGGAAGGGAGACGCCGGGCAGGCAGCCCCCCACCCACCCACCCGGGACTTCCTGCTCGCCACGGTGAGCTCACAGCCCTCCGCGAACGGTGGGGCAGGGAGGTTTTACCGGGGGAGAGGGGAAACAACACGGCTGGGTGGTCCCGGTATCACCGGAGGGACGGGAAAACGGGAACCCCTTCCCGGTGCGGCTCCGGGGGACACAACCCCGCGGCCACACGGGGTCCCGGTGAGGCTGCCCAGGCTGAAACCGGCCCCAAACCCCCAGCTGGGGGTGGGGACCCGCCGTGCTGAGCCCCTCCGGTGCACCCGCCGTTCCCGGTAATCCCCAGAGGAGCAGCCCCGCTCTCACGTACCCCCCGGGCAGGACCCCCGGAGGGCAGGACATCCCGGGCAGGGACCCCGGAGGGCAGGACACCCCTAGGCCGTGTCCCCCCGCACGGAGCCGGGCTCGGTAACCGAGGACGAGGGCTCGGTACCGGAGGATGAGGACTCGGCGGGGCCGGCGCGGGCGGGCGCGGCAAACAGCGCAATAAAGCGCCCGCCGTGCCGGGGGGCGGGGCCGCCGCCACTACAGCGGCGGCCGCACGTGACCACAACACCGCCCGCCCGCTCCCATTGGCTGCGCTGGGCGGAGGGGGCGGGGTTTATACGCCGCGCATGCGCATTGGCCGGAGGGGCTCTCCATTCATGAAAACGGAGGGAAGGGCCGTGGCCACGTGGTGGTCGCGCGTGTGAACGGGAATGGGGGGGGGGAGGGCGGAGTGTCCTGGTCCTGACCCCCCCCATCC